TGCGTTTTACATGAAAAGTTTCCCCAATAGATTCTTTGTTCCAAGAAATTAATAGTAACGTACAATCATAACAAAAAGTAACCGTATATAGAGAATAACAATAGAACAAAGAAAAAGATATGCAGCCACAGAGGGAATAAACTAAATGCAGAATAAAATAGCAATAATAATCTTAGATCCACTACTTAGATCCAAAATAAAATGAATTACATCTTCAGATAATCTCTTTATTTTCCTACTTGAAACATTCTTTTCAAAGGGCTTTATAAAACAATAGCTTGGATATTTTTACTGTATCGCATTGACCATCTTTGTAAAGGTGACATCCTCCCCTCTACTCCTTGCAACTTGTGCAGAATTTAACCTTTGTCCCTGTTTGCTGTATCCACTTATGGATTAAAGAGAGAACTTAAGTTAAGAGTACTTACATTTTAAGACTGACAGTTCACATAACCCCTTAAGGACATGACATGTGTGACATGTCATGATTCCCTTTTATTCCAGAAGTTTGGTCCTTAAGGGGTTAAAGGAACTCTTTAATTAAATAGTATATATAGTTACATAGTTACATAATTACATAGCTGAAAAGAGACTTGCGTCCATCAAGTTCAGCCTACCTCACATTTGTTTTTTGCTGTTGATCCAAAAGAAGGCAAAAAAACCCAGTTTGAAGCACAATTTTGCAACAAGTTAGGAAAAAAATTCCTTCTTGACCCCAGAATGGCAGTCAGATTTATCCTTGGATCAAGCAGTTATTACCCTACATTGAAAGATTATATCCTTGAATATTCTGTTCTTGTAAGTATGCATCTAGTAGCCGTTTGAACATCTGTATGGACTCTGATAAAACCACTTCCTCAGGCAGAGAATTCCACATCCTGATTGTTCTTACAGTAAAAAACCTTTCCTTTGCCTTAGACGAAATCTTCTTTCTTCCAGTCTAAACTCATGGCCTCGTGTCCTATGTAAAGTCCGGTTTGTGAATAGATTTCCACACAATGGTTTGTACTGGCCCCGAATATATTTGTATAATGTTATCATATCCCCTCTCAGGCGACGTTTTTCTAAACTAAATAGGTTTAAATTTGTTAACCTTTCTTCATAGCCGATATGATCCATTCCTTTTATTAATTTTATAGCCCGCCTCTGCACTTTTTCTAGTGCCATAATATCCTTCTTTAGAACAGGTGCCCAAAATTCATATTCAATATGGGGTCTTACCAGTGATTTATAAAGAGGCAAAATGATATTCTTGTCCCGAGAATGAATGCCCTTTTTCATGCATGACAATACCTTACTGGCCTTGGCCACTGCTGATTGACATTGCACATATGAATCAGGGGTTCTATAATAAGCAGATGGACAGCAAATCCTTGCAAATAGGACCTCTTTGTGGACCTGTGTGGATATGGCACATTACACAGTGTCAGACATCTCAGGTTTTACCGTGCAATTTGTACTTAAAGGAATACTCTTGGTTTATTTTATTTTTTTAGCTTAATGAAGCAGTTTATGTGTATAGATTATGTTGTTCCAGTCTCACTGCTCAATTCTCTGCGATTTAGGAGTAAAATCACTTGTGATTCTGTCTAGCCACACCTCTCTGGCTGGCACTCACACAGCCTGTCTGAAAAGAATGTTTTCATTTTCAATCAGATGTTAATTTACTTTAGAAGTTTTTACCTTCTGCTCTGTAAATTGAACTTTAATCACACACAGGTTTCTCCTGTAAGCTCTAGAAGTCTCTGGGCTTGCATCTAATTGCCATTAGAGTGATACTACAGAACTACAGTTATTTAAATATTCACATGGATTTGGGATAGTGTACACGTAACTCTTTTCTTACATTTTAATGTTTGTATGGGGCTGATGTGGTCAGTACTACCATGCAGGAGTAGTGGGAGTCTGCATGCAGGACTTATTTTTGTGTATTTGCATTTGCTTTTGTATCACACAGCCATGTTACAATGCTGCTTCCAACCCCATGCTTTCCCTATTAAGGGTTAAAAAGTATGTAGGGGTTTAGAAAAATACCCCATTCATTTCTCATTAAAGATTTTTTTTTTAAGGAAAGCAAGGTGAATTGTTAGTGTAGGACCAGCCTTGATGTGTACATCTAATGGCCATTGGAGTGATACTAAAAACCTTTGGTTATTTAAATATGCATAGGGATTTGGGGAAGTGTGCAAGCAACTCTTTTGTTTGGTTTCTACCATAACAGTTTATTGTAAAGGTTATGGTGCCAGAATGTCCTCTCACCCCCCACTGTAACCAGTTAAACAATTTTTAAGTGTTTTTAACTTTTACTGGGTGCCTCCCCACGCATCTACTACGCTGCAGGTCTTTGCTCACAAGAGTTAAGGGAAGTTCCTGCTTATGAAATTCTGGCTGTCCAGCATTGGTAATGGAGTCGGGTAGTGGCATTCACGCCATTTGACTTTTTACAATAATGGGGCGTGAAAGCACTCCTTTATGTAAAGCATACAAAAGTGGAAAATTGGATTGAATACTACTTAAATTATAATATAAAAATGTATACATTTTAATTAAAAGGTTGCTTCAAACATCATGACCACTTCAGTGATTTCAAGGTTGAGACCTGAACCTTCTCCACATCATCACACACACTGTAACAGTCCCCTAAACTGACTGGCAAGGACACTCCCCCAGCTATCTTTGACACAACGAGTGACGAAAAGGGAGGGTGGGAAGGAAGTTGTTTTCTGGCCAGAATCCCAAAAGGCACTGAGGTAAGATGATCCCACACCACTCACTCAACACATAACCACACCCACATACACAACCAATCACAAGCATCCAGGGGTGTATCTATCACGAGGCAAACAAGGCATTTGCCTAGGGCGGCACTTGCCAATGGGGCGGCAAAATGCCTTGTTTGCTTAATGATAGATGCAAAATATGCTGAATATTTTTTTGCCCCTTGTTTGAACCGATCCTTCACTATGCGAGCGGCATCGCCGGCGCCGCATAGTGAAGGAGTTGAAAGACTTACTTCCTCCTCCTGACTTCCTCCCGACCTCCCTTGCCTTTTGCGCATTGCCGTCGTGACGTCACACGGGGGTGGAGTCACGGGCCGGCAACTCTAGGGTGAGCACACAGACGGTCACGTGAACTGAACACTGAGGCCCAGGCTCCGCCCCTAGCCCCAATGCTCTGATCCCTGAGCCTACTGTAAGTACCTAAATTACAGTTTTTCACACAAAAAAAAAATACTTAGTTGTTTTATAGGGTAAAGGGGGACTGGCTGGGTGGTTAGAGGGGGACTAGCTGCACATTGTGTTTTAAAAAAAATAAATAAAAAGTAATCTGTAAAATACATTTTGTGCTTTTTTAATTTTTAGAATAATGATACAGGCAGCCATTTTATTTAATGTATTTGTGCTAATTTCTGTGCTGTTGGAGGGGGGTGAGGAGCAGTATTACACAATCTGTATATGTATAAAAATATATATATAAAGATTGTGTAATACTGCCCCTCACCCCCCTCCAACAGCACAGAAATTAGCACAAATACATTAAATAAAATGGCTGCCTGTATCATTATTCTAAAAATTAAAAAAGTGCAACTTCTGACACAAATACTTTGTATTTTACAGATTTTTATATATTTTTTATACATCTGGAAAATACAAAATATTTGTGTCGAACTAGGAATGTGCATAGTTTATTTTTTTAAAATAACTTTTAGATAATAGACATTTTATTTTATTTCATACATACATTTGTGATGATTCTTTTTCTTCTCTATATTCAAGGGACACTATAATCACCAGAACCACAACAGCTAAACGTAGTAGTTCTGGTGTCTATAGCATGTCTCTGCAGGCTTTTTAATGTAAACACTGCCTTTTCAGAAAAAAGGCAGTATTTACATTACTGTCTATGAATACCTCTAGTGGCCACTCATCAGACAGCAACTAGAGGTGCTTCCTAGTCCAGTGTTGCACAACGTGCAGCACTGGCATTCACGCTGAACACTCCTCATAGAAATGCATTAATTTAATGCATCTCTATGAGGAGATGCTGATTGGTGCAGCGCACTGTTTTGCCACGCATGTGCAATAGCCTCCCAATGCTTTCCTATGGGAAAGCAGTGGGTTGGCTGATATATACTCAGACACTGCACATTTTTGTGTGGGAAGGCGGGATCCAGGGGGCTCAAGTAAATTCTTGCCCAGGGTCCAATCAATATTAAAGACGGCCCTGCCCCTCGCACTTGCCGCGCTCTCTCTGCTCTGTCCCTGCTTCCTGATTAATGTCTGATTGTTGCCATGGAGAGCAGACAGCAAGCCGACCTCCCACGAGAAGCAGCATGCTCCTTCAGAGCCTCCTTCCATTATAGCCGGGCAGCACGTGCTACGTCTGTTGATTTTCACTGACGCTACGTCTGTTGATTTTCACTGACGCTACGTCTGTTGATTTTCACTGACGCTACGTCTGATTTTCACTGACGCTACGTCTGATTTTCATTGATGCTACGTCTGTTGATTTTCATTGATGCTACGTCTGTTGATTTTCATTGATGCTATGTCTGTTGATTTTTATTGATGCTATGTCTGTTGATTTTTATTGATGCTATGTCTGTTGATTTTCATTGATGCTATGTCTGTTGATTTTCATTGACGCTATGTCTGTTGATTTTCACTGACGTAATGCCTGTTGATTTTTTTTATTGACGCTATGCCTGTTGATTTTCATTGACGCTATGGCGGTTGATTTTCATTGACACTGTGGCGGTTGATTTTAATTGACGCTGTGGCGGTTAATTTTTTTTTCTGATGCTATGTCGGTTGTTTTTTACTGGTGCTATGTCGGTTGATTTTTACTGGTGCTATGTCGGTTGATTTTTTTTATTGACGCTATGTCTGTTGATTTTCATTGTCGTTATGGCGGTTGATTTTCACTGACAATATGGCGGTTGATTTTCACTGATGCTATCTCAGTTGATTTTCACAGCATTGGTACTATTCTTAGCAGCCATGAGTGACGGGCGAAAAAGGCTAAGTGGAGCAGGTTACCGAAAAAATGCAAAAATTAGGCGTGAAAAACAAGCCAGGGAGCTTGAACAGACAGGAAAAATTGAACTGTTTTTCGCGAAACCTGTGGCTTCTTCTAAAACTGAGCAGGGTGAGGAGGTAGTTGAAGATTTAACTGCTGACATCTGTGAAACTGATGTTGCTACATGCAGTTATGATACTTCACTAGCTACCAGTAGTACTAGTATTGCCAGAGAAACTGAGACTTCTGAATCAGGTCCTTCGAATTCAGTAGAATTTGATGATCCTTTTGTACAAATAGGAGTGAGCTCTGACCCTGCTGAATGGGTTTTAAATGATTGCACCAGAGACCATGTGGCTAAACATGGAATAATTCAAAATGAGAATCTGGACTTTACACAGTCGAGAAGGATGTATGCTGACCATTCTAGGTTGCTAACTAAACACCTTTTTGAAAAAGAAAACTTTAATGGAGAGAAACAAAAAAGGACCTATTTGGTTTACTCCAAAAGCAAAGGAGTGTTTTGTGCTCCATGTCGTTTGTTTGGTGGCAAATCCCAGTTGGCAGAAAGTGGCTTCAATGACTGGAAAAATGGCACGGCTCGATTAAATGAACACGAGCGTTCAGCTGAACACAAATCCTGTGTGCTATCTTTAAAATCAAGAGCATGTACACTGGGGAGAATTGATGAAAGTCTTACCAAGCAGCGTTCTGATGAAATTCAATATTGGAGAAATGTTTTAAAAAGAGTTGTTGCTGCAGTTAAGGCACTTGGCACTCGAGGACTTGCTTTCAGAGGGAAAGATGACCGTTTTGGTTCCACACACAACGGAAACTACATGATGATGTTCGAATTTCTGTCAGAATTTGACCCATTTATAGCAGAACACATTGCCGTTACGGCAGTGCAGGAAAAGGAGTCACATCTTACCTCTCATTCACTACCTGTGAGCAGTTTATTCAGCTTATGGCAGATTCTGTTACAAAGCAGATAGTTAAGGAGGCAAAGGCTGCTAAATATTACTCTATCAGTGTTGATTCAACACCTGATAGCTCCCACACGGATCAGCTGGCCTTCATCTTAAGGTATGTCAAGGAAGATGGCTTACCGGTTGAGCGCGTTCTACGTTTTATTCCAAATCCTGGACATAAATCGGAACAACTGGCTGAAGTGGTCCTCACCACTCTTAAGTCATATGATCTTGATATTGCCAACTGTCGTGGTCAATCATATGACAATGCAAGCAATATGTCTGGCCATTATAGAGGACTGCAAGCCAGAATTCTGGAAAGAAACCCACTTGCTGTGTATATTCCATGCTCTGCACACTCTTTGAATTTAGTAGGAAAGCATGCTGCTGAAAGTTGTCCTGGAGCCTGTTCATTCTTTGGTCTCCTACAATACCTTTACATTTTTTTTTACTGCTTCCACTCACAGATGGGAGATTTTACAAGAACATTTATCATCTGTGCCAAACACTCTAGCGGTAAAGAGATTATCTGACACACGGTGGTCAGCCAGGGAAGATGCCTGTCGAAGCTTAAATCGAAAAGTAATCAAAGCTTTAACAAAAATTAAGGAAATTACCACAGAGGCACCAGGAACCTGCAAGCAAGCTGAAGGTCTTCTGAATAAAATACAGCATCTGGAGACTGCACTTATGAGTGGTTTGTGGGGTACTATCTTGGATAGATTTGGTGCAGTTAGCAAAAAACTCCAAAGCATTGGCATTGATGTTGGAATTGTAGGGGAGCTGTATGAGTCACTGATCTAGTTTGTTCGAGAAACCAGAGACATATTCCCGACTTTCGAAGCTGCTGCAATGGAAAAATCAGTTGTGAAGGATTATGAGTCTAAAAGGAAAGGTGTACAAGCAAGGAAAGGTTCAGCAACTTCCAGCAAGACACAGGCAGAGGTAGCCCAAGAAAACTTTCGCATTAACACCTTTTATGTTATTTGTGACAACTTAGTTGCTGAACTTATGAGAAGAAAAACGGCATATGACTCTTTCTTTGGAAAGTTTAAATTCATTACTGACCTATCAAAAACTGAGCCATCAGCAATTTCACAGCATGCAAATAACCTTTGTTCTTTTTACAGCAAAGACTTGGAACAGGAGTGTTTTGTTGATGAGTGCCTCCACTTTCGTTCATACTTAATAAATTCTTCTGCAGAAGATACCTCTGTTCTGGCGATGTCCCGAATGATAAGAGAGAGAGGATTGCAAAGTATTTATTTAAATGTGGACATTGCTCTCAGAATGTTTTTGTGTACTGCAGCAACAAACTGCTCAGCTGAGCGTTCTTTCTCGACTTTGAAGCGAGTGAAGAACTACTTGCGATCCAGAATGGGGGAGGAAAGATTGAACTCCCTGGCAGTGTTGGCAATAGAGTCTGAACTCACAAAGTCTTTGGACTATGATGAGCTTATCAACTGCTTTGCCACACAGAGAGTTCGGCGAAAGCCACTTTAGTTTCCAAGTGTGATTTAGATCTAATAGTCTAATATTCAACAGTTTGCACTTATTTAAGTCAGAAATGCTTACAGTTTTATTTGTTGTATTAAACAAGTTGCATTTCAGTTTAATATATTTAATTAAAGTTATCTAAGTTATTAAAAACCTCATCGTGTCCGTTTCAGGATGAATTGATTGATGTAAGTAAATGGTGTGAGAAAGTCTGTGCTATGACTAAAGTAGTGTAATGGACTGCATGTGTACAGTGCTACGGAATCTGGCGCTATATAAAAATTAAATAATAAATAATAATATGTACAGTGGCATTGTCTTGTATGAATGACACAAATTGTGTATGCATGTCCAGTAACAGCTGTTGACGCTTTGGTGCTGTTACTGCTCATGTGGACTGACCACGTGCTACTTCAAACAATTTGAGTGTCTGTGATCCCATTGTACAGCGCTACGGAATTTGTTGGCGCTATATAAATAATAAAATAATAATCAATATAGTATAGTTGACCTGGATGACTGATCTTTGTAAAGTGGTTGAATTTACACTTTATATTATTATATGTAAAGATTCTCTTAAAATAATAGATGCAACATTTGGTACAGAAAACACAAAATATTGGCTTTACTTATTCACTTTCAAATACAGAAAGGAAGATGTGAAGCTCTAACAGGAAAGGGTGGGGCCTAAAGAGGAAGGGGTGGCTCCTAAACAGAAAGGGGTTTGGCCTTGACAGGAAGGGGTGGGTCAAATTTATATTAGGGGGGTGCCCGAGTTTAGTCTCGCCTAGGGCAGCACAAAACCAAGACACAACACTGCAAGCATCCATACCAACACTCATACATGTGCCCTTGTATGCTTAGCTATGCTAACTCCCAGGGCCTGAACAGAGGTTTTGTATTTTTATTTTATTTTTATTTTATTTTTCAAGTTGAGTGGAGGAGAACAGGATAGAAAAGGTTATGCTAACCAAAACCAGTGTTTTATTAACCAAAACCAGTGGCGTCGCAAAGGGGGGGGGGGGGGCAGAGGGGGCCATGGCCCCCCCTACATCATGCTGTGACCCCCTTGGGTCCCCCAAATGCCAGCAACATTCTATTCCCTCAGGCTGTAAAAGTGTGTGAGTGTGTTACAGCCCGGGGGAGGGATTGCAAAGCAGAGGAGCTCAGCTGGAACGGTGCTGGGTGCTGTCTGTGGCCAGAGGGAGCACTGACAGGCTCCCCAGCACAGGCTCTGCCCCCAAACCAAGCCCTGCCTCCCGCACATAAGCAGACCATGCTGCTGCTGGAAAAGCAAGAAGATGGCTGTCTGACCCCCGGCAACAGGTAGGCTTGATATGCTCAGGTGTGTGTGTGTGTGTGTCTGTCTGTCTGCTAGTGAGGAAGCTTGTGTGTGTGTGTCTGTGTGTGTATGGACTCAGCAGTGTGTGTGTATGAACTCAGCAGTCTGTCTGTGTGTATGGACTCAGCAGTCTATCTGTGTGTATGGACTCAGCAATCTATCTGTGTGTATGGACTTAGCAGTCTGTCTGTGTGTATGAACTCAGCAGTGTGTGTGTATGGACTCAGCAATCTGTATTTGTGTATTAACTCAGCAGTGTGTGTATGGACTCAGCAGTCTGTCTGTGTGTATGGACTCAGCAGTCTGTGTGTATGGACTCAGCAGTCTGTGTGTGTATGGACTCAGCAGTCTGTGTGTCTATGGACTCAGCAGTCTGTGTGTCTATGGACTCAGCAGTCTTTATGTGTGTATGAACTCAGCAGTATGTGTGTATGGACTCAGCAGTGTGTGTGTATGAACTCAGCAGTGTGTGTATGAACTCAGCAGTCTGTCTGTGTGTATGAACTCAGCAGTCTGTGTGTATGAACTCAGCAGTGTGTGTGTATGGAGTCAGCAGTCTGTATGTGTGTATGGACTCAGCAGTGTGTGTGTGTATGGACTCAGCAGTGTGTGTGTGTATGAACTCAGCAGTGTGTGTATGGACTCAGCAGTCTGTGTATGGACTCAGCAGTCTGTATGTGTGTATGGACTCAGCAGTCTGTATGTGTGTATGAACTCAGCAATGTGTGTGTATGGACTCAGCAGTCTGTCTGTGTGTATGGACTCAGTAGTCTGTGTGTATGGACTCAGCGGTCTGTGTGGACTCAGCCGGTCTGTATGTGTGTATGGACTCAGCGGTCTGTGTGTGTGTATGAACTCAGCAGTGTGTGTATGGACTCAGTCTGTCTGTGTGTGTGTATGAGAACTCAGCAGTCTGTGTGTATGGACTCAGCAGTCTGTGTATGGACTCAGCAGTCTGTATGTGTGTATGGACTCAGCAGTCTGTATGTGTGTATGAACTCAGCAGTGTGTGTGTATGAACTCAGCAATGTGTGTGTATGGACTCAGCAGTCTGTCTGTGTGTATGAACTCAGCAGTCTGTGTGTATGGACTCAGCATTCTGTGTGTATGAACTCAGCAGTCTGTGTGTATGGACTCAGCAGTCTGTGTGTATGAACTCAGCAGTGTGTGTATGGACTCAGCAGTGTGTGTATGGACTCAGCAGTGTGTGTGTGTGTGGACTCAGCAGTCTGTCTGTGTGTATGGACTCCGCAGTGTGTGTCTGTGTTTGTATGGACTCAGCAGTCTGTGTGTCTGTGTGTGTGAACTCAGAAGTCTGTGTGTGTGAACTCAGAAGTCTGTGTGTGTGGACTCAGAAGTCTGTGTGTATGGACTCAGAAGTCTGTGTGTCTGTGTTTGTATGGACTCAGCAGTCTGTGTGTCTGTGTGTGTGTGTGTGTGTGTGTGTAAGGACTCAGCAGTCTGTGTGTGTGTGTGTGTGTGTGTGTATGGACTGTATCAAGGGAAATGTATGTTTTTTTTTAATAATCCTTGGTGGAAAATAATGAATTCTCCACCAGGGATTATTAAAAAAAAACAAAAAACACATTGTGTCAGGGGTTAACATACGACAGGGGCGTAGTCAAACTGGGGTGAGGGCGGGGTTAAATGTGCCCCCCTACTTTAGTCCCTGGCCCACCATGTGCCCCCCCCCTAAAAATGAATCCTAGAGACGCCACTGACCAAAAACAGTGTTTTATTAACCAAAACCAGTGTTTTATTAAAATACTTTTTTTTGGTTGGAGTAACCCTATACAGGCAAGTATTTACTGGCTAACACTGAATTGTCCTACCGAAAAGTAAATTGTACATTTTAGGTCAAAGAAACCTGCTGTTTTTCCAACTTGCCTAATTTACCCAAATTTTACAATTCAATTAATTCTGTTCAAGGCCGATTTAAAAAAAACCAAAAAAAACAATCATGCCCAAGAATGAACTTGGTAAGCCCAGATACTAAATGCTAAATGTACATGGATATATATTTTGGAATGGCTATAAGTAATACATACCTATAAAATGCTTCATAATAAAACGATCAAATAGTATTGCTTAGCAGCTGATACTGTTTGTTATTAATAAGCCTCTATAACATGTTATATAATGGTGTGACTTACTCTGCACTGTAGCTGATCATGAGTTGCATGATTCAATACTAGCCTTTAGGTGAGAAATATTATTCACAAACATTTGCAAGTGTATAGTGTTCAGGTTATCAGCAGTATAGGGTTAGGAGGGACTTAAAGAGACACTATTGTCACCCAGACCACTTCAGCTCAATGAAGTGGTCTGGGTGCCAGGTCCCTCAGGTTTTAACCCTTCAGATGCAAACATAGCAGTTTCAGAGAAACTGCTATGTTTACATTTGGGGTTAAGCCAGCCTCTAGTGGCTGTCTTCCGGACAGCCACTAGAGGCGCATCTGTGATGCTGGAGGCATATTATGCCTCCATCGCACAGAGCGTCCATAGGAAAGCATTGAGAGCTGGCGGGGGAGGAGAGGTCACCAGCGCCGAGGGAGCCCGGTGCTGGACTAAGGTAAGTGGCTGGGGGCACCCTCAGGGCACTATAGTGTCAGGAAAACCGCTTTGTTTTCCTTACACTATAGTGATCCTTTAAGGTAAAAAGGAAAATAGGATTAATGTGTGCCTGTTTTCAAGATGTTATGAACTGTAAAATATAGAATTCCTTACCAAGAGTGGTTCCTACTTAACTGGGTACTATACTGTATATTCAGTCATTGCAGCAGTATGTACAGCAATGTACTTCTCACTGTAGTGAGGTTCCTCATTAAAAAAGGTGCTACAGTTTCATCACATTATAGAGAGGTAATAGTAATGGTTAATGTCTTGATGCCAAAGTGAAACAAAGTAAGCTATTGAGACATTAACACATGTAAGAATTTAAGCTCCTTTTTAGATTTTATATTAATATCAACAGGAAATTAAAATACTCAACATTATACAATACACACAAAGCACATTATACATATTTTGCTGCAAACTTTATTGAAAATATGTTTAAAAATGCACATTAAGCTGGGTCTGGAATGCCCATAAAGAGGTGTTGCAGGTTGCAGGTTAACCAAATTGCTAGTAGTTGCAAACAAATGGAAGACGTATCCCACAATGGAAAGTATGCCATCGACCAGCTATAAAAAAGAAAAATATTAGGAGAAGGGGTTTTGCAGTATCTATTAGAGCATATTATATTGCAGCATGTATCAATTTTCTTAATTTGTGCTTTAACTCATAAAAAAACATATCACCAGAGCTAGGTGGATAGAAGATCCATACATGTGTACCCTTCACCTGGTATTCTCTGTAATCTATCACAGAGTGTTATCCTACTTGGAAAAGATTTTGGCGATGCTGTGTGAGACACAATGATTACGAATCACTTTTAAAGTGTACATGTCTTCCACAAATGTGTGAATAACAAGGTCAACTCATATTTCATTAACAGAGAGCAAAGTGATAACTGTATGAGTGCAGAAAAATGATACACGTTTTCAGATTCAGGCCATTTTATTATAAACAGTGTTTGGTAGCTGAGTGTAAGACATCGACGACAGTAATTACTCAATCGACAGAGACCAGCTCTATTTTTACAGAAAATTTATACAGAGGCCCTAGTTAAGGTTGCATTCAATTGATTCCACAATAACTACATTGCACGCAGCAGGTAGCAGCAGATACTTGTGTCCGTATACTTATACTGTTATAGTAATAGGACCGAAGAATTTAAATTTTAGTGTTTTTATACTAATAGCTAAAAACTAAAGCAAGGCCAAGACCTTTTTTCACTTACTGTGAATATTGAGGGCAGCGCACCTACTAATACTGGAAGATAGCCCACATCCCCAGTTGGTGTAGTCCAGTCGAGTGCCATCTACATTTCTGAATGGAGAATTCTGAAAAGAATTGCAACAAAAAAAATTATGCAACCTGCACACCTAAAATTGTTCTTTCCTAAAATGTATTCAAAGTTAATGGCCTAAAAGGGCAAAAATAAATTTTAGAACATCCAGTACTATATAGAGACATAGTCTCTACTAGGTCGACTAGTGTGTGTATGTATGTAATTCAGTGTGAGTGTGTGTGTGTAAATAAGTTAGATATTTAGTGTGACTGTAAATTAGTGAGTGTGTATGTATGTTATTTACTGTGTGTGTGTAATTTATCATAAGTGTATGTAAATAAGTGTGATAACAATTTAGTGTGATTGTGTGTAAATTATTGAGTATGTGTGTGTTATTTACTGTGTGTCAGTGTGTGTAATTTAGTGTAAAAGTGTATGTAAATAAGTGTGCCTCTGTCGTAGTGTGAGCGTGTGTTAAGTTAAATGTTTGTTAAGGAGATCGAGCATATGTATATAAAAATCTGTAAAAGGAGTTTGTAAGTGCTGGTCTGATAAATTATATGATAGGCTAATAGACTTGGCTGGTGAGCTGTACACTGATGCCAGGTCTCTGGGAATATGACAACTGCTATGAAAATGTTGATTATTTTTTTTTTGGACTAGTTTGATAAATACACAGCTATAACACATATTGACCTGAACAATATAGTAAAATTAATTTGAATTAAATCAATATTTGAACCAAATTAGAGCAGTCCAATTGGGGCAAATCTGGTAGTTTTGTAGGAGTGAGAAGAGCATGTACAGTAAGGGAAAAACGTTTTTGATCCCCTGTTGATTTTGAACGTTTGCCCACTGACAAAGAAATGACCAGTCTATAATTTTAATGGTAGGTGTATTTTAACAGTGAGAGACAGAATAACTTTTGACATGCGTTTTTCTGGAATTTTTTTGTTATTCTGTCTCTCACTGTTAAAATATACCTAGCATTAAAATTATATTCTGATCATTTCTTTGTCTGTGGGCAAACGTTCAAAATCGGCAGGGGATCAAATAAATTTTTATCCCTCACTGTACATAAAAACTGTGCAACAATTGCAAAAAATTGATTGCAACGAGTACAAGTCAGTATTTTTCTGCACAGGACAAACCGTATTAATTCTAATAATCTCCAATAGTATGTGAAACAAACAGTTTCAAAGAAAAAAAATGCTCTTATGCTAAAATAATTTAATATGTTAAAGATGGAATAAAATTTTACTTACTCCTCCATAGTTCCTCACACCAATCCAGACCAATGTTACACTTCTGTTTGCTCTCCTCACCAGATTCGAAACACAACGGTTGGTCCTTGCGCTGTGAATTGAACAGAGATTCCCACCATACCGTTTACAGATTCCCTATGGAACACAATGTAGATAGAGATATACCCAGGATTAGAATGTATTGGATTGAGCAAGAATAGTGACACATTATATCCAAAGATGCAACGTACAACTTTATTTTTTTAAGCATTTAAACATTTAGGCACTACTTAAATAAACTCCCTTTATATGATATATCTAAAATTAATGAATGAGTGAATCAAGGATATAATTATGCCCTGACAAGTTAATGCCGGTTATGTACCCTTAAACCACAGACATCAATTTAATTAATTTCAATAGTTATTTGCTGCGTACAAATGTTTAAAAATAAAATAGTAATAATGATTTGTTTTGTGATCCAGGCATCATCAGAAGCTCTACAAAGCGAAATTATATTTGCGACACATGTCTATGATTATAGATGAAAGTAGCTCATCCTCAGCCAATCACAGGCAAGAGGCATATATATTTACATAGATGCAAATAAAAAAGCAATCCACTGAAAATGTGTGAAATGAACACAAACAAATGAAAACACCAACCTGAGCAGCACTAAAAGTAAGATGATGGTTATAAAATTTGTAGGATGTACATTTATCACCAATTGTGTTTTTATCAGAAGTCAGAGAATCCTCCAGATGGTCCTCAGATGTGGCATCACTTAGAGGGAAGGGTTCTATATTATTTTGGATGTCATAGTCTTCCTGAACATTATCCCCTGAAGGCAAATTTTAAGTCAATAAACAGCAAAGTAATAAAATAATAAAACATTTACCATTACAAATTTTACCTCAGTTTGTTTTTTAACTTACCAGACTCCTGAGTGTAGATAGATCCCACCAAACACAGCAACAACAGAAATGTAAACATACTAAACAGAAAAATAAATAAACGGTTACAACAATAAATTATATATATTTTTTTTCTGTATTATTCAGTAATAATAATATTCTGACCTTCTCAGCAGCTTCTTGGTCTTTTTGTTATTTTCTTGTAATCACAGATGTCTATCCTTTTCAGCATGAAATGAGTCTTTTTATACAGTAATTATGGGAAGTTGTGGTTAAAGTATCAAAAAAAAAAAAAATATGGTGATGAAAGACTCTGTTTTATCTGTATTTACACTTCTAGATAAAAAAACACATCTGGTGAAAGACGTAGATAATGGAATTAAATTATATGTTAGCTGTATCATTTTTTCTTAAAAGGAACACTGTAGAGTAACTAATGCAAATGTGTTTCTAATGATATGGTGTTCTCTTCCATCTGTAGATTCAGGGCCCTCTAAATTATATTTAAAAAAAATGGGAAAAAAGTTTTTACTTACTTTTTTCCAAACTCCAAGACTCATTCAGTGCCGCAGCACACCCCCAGCGACATCATTCTGCAGGCGTTGCTTCTTCGTCTACTCGTCTAATTCAGCGCTTCTTCTAGAGAAGTATTGGGGCTAAGAAGTGCATGCATGGTGAGCACCACGCTCCTCCAATTGAATGCTCTCTATGAGAAGCATAGAAAGAGGATGACGTGAAAACTTGCTTCTTCCAGTGGAAGCACTTCTAGTGTCTTCTATGTTTAGCCCTGCAATGAAAACATTACGGTATCTACTAAATAGCAATATTTTACATTGCAGGGCTAAAATGACAGGAGCACTGAACCAGACCACTTCATTGAGATGAAATGGTTTGGGTGCCTTTAGTGTCTCTTTATATATGTTGACATACAATATAAGTTAAACAGGTATGCCTAATTATATATTTAACCAAACAAGCAATTAATCTATTATTATTTTTATTATTATTAAATTACCAACATATTTTGTAGGCCTGTAAGAATGAGATGCCACGAATACAATTAATGAAAGTGATAATATGGGGCAATCAGAGTGTGCAGCTACTTGGAAGCTATGATCCTTCATAGTCACTATCCCAGTTGCTGACCCACAAGGATATCAGAAGATTTCTATTTACTACATTTCCCAATAATTACATTTTTATTATAATACATTATTTATTGTTTTATAGATTGCACAAAAAATAAACATAAATGTAAGACAATTAAAGCCACATGAACAAATATATTACAAGAATGGTGACGTGGAACCAGTGGCGGATCCAGAGCCTGATCTCGGGAGGGCCACTTGTAGATTATTTAAAGAAATAATCCAGACACAATAACCACTACAGCTCAGTGTAGTAGTTATGGTGTCAATAGTGCCGGGACCCCCTCCCACAGTAAGTAGTCAAACCGTTTAAGAACAGTTTGACAACTTACCTGAGATCTGCTGGGAAATGGTGCTGTAGTAGGGCATAGGAGCAGTGGTGTGTGTGAGTGGTGCAATGTGTAAGGGGTGCAGTGTGTGTGTGAAGGTTGTAGTGTGTGAGTGAGGGCGGCAGTGTATGTCAGGGATGCAGTGTATGTGTGGGACAGTATGTGTGTGTAACAATTGCAGTGTGTGTGTATGGGGGGGCAGTATGTGTGTATGGGGGGCAGTATGTGTATATGGGGGCAGTGTGTGTGTATGGGGGCAGTATGTGTGTATGGGGGAGCAGTGTGTGTGTGTGATGGGGGCAGTATGTGTGTGTATGGGGGCAGTATGTGTGTATGTAGGGGCAGTATGTGTGTATGTGGGGCAGTATGTGTGTATGTGGGGCAGTGTGTGTGTGTATGGGGGGTAGGGTGTGTGTGTGTATGGGGGGCAGTGTGTGTGTGTGTATATGGGGGGGCAGTGTGTGTGTGTGTATGGGGGCAGTATGTGTGTGTATGGGGGGCAGTATGTGTGTGTATGGAGGGCAGTGTGTGTGTATAGGGGCAGTTTGTGTGAATGGGGGGCAGTTTGTGTGAATGGGGAGGCAGTATTGGGGGCAATGTATGTGTGTGGCTTTTTTTTTATAATATATATTTTTTTTATTTAATTAAAATAAATATCCTATGTCCCCCCTCCCTTCTTACCTTTACTGGGGAGGAGGGGGGACATATTTCGATCCCTGGTGGTCCCAGTGGGATTCCCTGGTGGTCCAGTGTGGAGAGTGAACTCTAGCCCGCGTTTCCGGGCTAGAGTTCACTCTCGCGAGATTTGGAGCGTTGCCGTGGTAACCGCGGCAACGCTCCAAATCTCGCGAGAGGAGGACCCGGAGGAGCTGCAGCCTGAGCTCTGGGTCCTCTCTCTCCTCCCTCTCCCTCCCCTGCCGGCTGTAAGCACAGTGCCTGCGGACCGGGGAGGGAGATCTCTGATCTCTCCTCCGGTCCGCATGCACATTGCAGGGGTAGCGCCTGCATGTGTTAGTAGGGGAGGGAGAGGGAGACCGGCGGATTTCTCGGGGGGGTGCAATTGCCCCGTTGCCCCCGCCCTGGATCCGCCACTGCGTGGAACATTAAATTGATGTTTACGTTAAAAAAAAAAAAAAACTAAAGAAGGGAGAGAAAGAAACAGACATGTAGAGTTGTTCATGAAACGTTTGCCCAATAGATTACTTGTCCCAAGAAATTAATAGTCACATTTGCCATAAATACTAGTAGACTGCATGTATTGAATACAATATACACGGCATGTACAGAAAATAACAAAAACAGCATAGAGAATAACAATAGAACAAAGAAAAAGCATTGCCCTCCGCCCCCTATCCTGCCTCTTTGGCTGAGATCGTCAAAATTGATAATTTTAGCCAATCCAATGCATTTTCCTTTTTGTTTAGGCAAAAAATATGGTATTGATGAAACGCTCTGCACTTTATCTTTAGGCCAATGTTATAACCAAGAATAGAAGAGGGGAAGAGTCTGCGCTAACTCAATTGAGCAGCAACCCTAAAAGGGAATCCCTCACGAAACCCTTTTAGAAACAAGGAGGTACAAAACGAGGAGTTAAGGGCTGCGCTTTGACTAAAATGAGTAAAAAGGATAAAAACAATTAAAATTCATCCGAATAAATAAGAAATATAAATTAAAACAGTCTCACTGGTGTGCAGTAATATAATATAAGTCCTCAAGTGTCGCTCCGTCCTTATGGTAGGTAGTCCATATATGTGAAGACAAAAATAAGAGAAAAAAGCTTCCAATGTCCAAAATGTGGTATATATTCAAAGGAAAGGTATTTCACTCACATTTGTTGGAGCTCTAACCAGCTCTAGGAGAAGAGGCACTTAGTGGTTTAATCCCCACTATCGGATATACTTAAACGGTTGGTCCGTCCGTCCAGCTTGTGATTTCTTTGATGTAGGCTAGGACCTACTCAGATGTGCGTATTCGTTATGCTGGGGAGATAGGTCCGCCTCTCCGGTATTGGATAGTAGATGTCCACGAGATATATAAAACAGCAGATAGTGCTCTCAGTATGAACAACACCGTAATATGTTAAAATAAGTTATACTTTCAAAAATAGAGCAGACAGGTACTGCTCTATTGCCACAGCACTGGTGGAATTATCCCCCACCTCAGGATTTCTTTGGACGGGATACACTTCAGTAGTAAAAAATAGAATAGTAAAAGTATAATATAAAATAAAAATAATTTTAAAAATAATGTAAAAATGCCAGGAGTAAAAATAAATAAATAAAAAGTGTATAAAGTACAATAAAAATAAGTATAAAGTTGGTCCTATAATGAAGGGTAACCAAAAATAACTTTTATTGACTAAAATACACTTATTACAACCATTTACGCGTTTCACCTTTAGGGTTTTCTCAAAATGGTAAAAGAACAGTACACCTGGCAAGGAACTGAATATATAAGTTTACAGAGGTTTAAAAATGGCGCCAAAATTTAATGCACCAATCACAAACGAGATTAAAAACAAAATTTTAAATACGTTTCAAAATGACATTACAACATTATTAGCGCATTGGTATGAGCCTAATTAAGCTTAGAAGATATACATTTTATAAAAACGAAGCTTTAGAACAGAGTTATTTCCAATTGGTCCCGATCACATGATCGGGACGCGGCGCGCATGCGCAGATAATTTTTTCTGCAAATCACTTCCTGGTTTGAACGGAGTGCCCGGTGGCCGGCTAGGAACGCAATGCTTGGTGGGAAATGGAGTCCAGCCAGTCACTGGGCACTTCTACAGTAAAATATAAACCGGGAATCTTATTATAGTAGACTGTACCTGTCTGCTCTATTTTTGTAAGTATAACTTATTTTAACATATTACGGTGTTGTTCATACTGAGAGCACTATCTGCTGTTTTATATATCTCGTGGACATCTACTATCCAATACCGGAGAGGCGGACCTATCTCCCCAGCATAATGAATACGCACATCTGAGTAGGTCCTAGCCTACATCAAAGAAATCTCAAGCCGGACGGACGGACCAACCGTTTAAGTATATCCGATAGTGGGGATTAAACCACTAAGTGCCTCTTCTCCTAGAGCTGGTTAGAGCTCCAACAAATGTGAGTGAAATACCTTTCCTTTGAATATATACCACATTTTGGACATACAATATTTCAACATTGGAAGCTTTTTTTCTCTTATTTTTGTCTTCACATATATGGACTACCTACCATAAGGACGGAGCGACACTTGAGGACTTATATTATATTACTGCACACCAGTGAGACTGTTTTAATTTATATTTCTTATTTATTTGGATGAACTTTAATTGTTTTTATCCTTTTTACTCATTTTAGTCAAAGCGCAGCCCTTAACTCCTCGTTTTGTACCTCAATGTTATAACCAAGAACACAAATTTGTATCTAGACCAATTTCTTTTAGTTTTAAAATTAACCTATTGTGTGGAACCATATCTGAATTCGAGAAGTAGACTACTTCCAATACAACACCCTCTATACTTCTACTTTGTTCTTTTTAGAATGCAATTAAGTGCTTTCTAATGGGAAATCAATGTATTGGCTGAGATAATCAATTCTGATGATGTCAGCTAAGGCGGAGGATGTCAGCAAAGAGCTTTGCATGGAGAAGGAAAATGGTGGGTAAATCTCCGTTTTAATCTCTGATAAGGGGGGCCAAGCAAACTGGAAATCCTTTCGATATGCCAAATTAGGA